TATGTTCTAACTTAAATTGTTTGATGCTCGAGTGTTGCGTGCTTTGTTCTTTTAGGAAGTTTTATTAGTACCAGCTGACTAGTGGATGAACGCGTTTGGTTAGATATTATTAAATTATATGATTTTAGAAGGATAGGTTTAACTCTATTGCGCAACTCTTGTTTGAGTTCAGCCGTTGTAGTGTGCTACCTTTCATTCAAAGAATTATCTAGTACCGATAGTATGAGTTAACGTATCCCACTAAGAATGTGTCAAGGATCGATGTACGCCTAGCACCGAGACCACGCCCTTTCCCTCGCGATCTCATGATTATTCCTTGGTTCCTAAGCACTGAAGCCCATCCGGAGACAAAACAGTACCAGTCGTCTCCCAGAGCGACAGATGTAATGCTCAGGGCCACACCTCCTGAGATTTCTGCACCAACGACAACTAATCAATAGTGGGGCATGATCCGCCAATAGGACGCCTCCACGTCCTGTCGGCCCAACAGGGACAAAAAGGTATTGTCAAGATCTTGTCCCCGCCATGACAAGTATAAATAGAACCCCTCTCTTCCAGGAGAGGGGATCTCCACTCACTCACTCTTCAATTAAACCCATACTCTCTCGACCAGTCACTAACTTGACCGTCAGAGCTTCGTTCTGGGAGCCCATCCCGGACGACGATTGACGACCTTTTTTCTGTGTTGTGATTCCCAGACTTAACTCCATCGAGACAACGAAAGGTGACGTTAAGTCCGGGGAAGATATCACAACATCTGGCGCCATCTGGGCGTGTACTCAGAGCTACAAAACCTACAAAATGACCTTAAGCTATCAGAAATGGCAAATAAACGAACTACACTAACGGAAGGTGGAGAAGCCAGCCCGATCAGAACAATGTTGTCCCTCGATGACACTGGTTCATCTGCATCAGGAGGGCATACACCCACACAAAGAGCAGCGTCGCAGGCAGTTAGCTCAGCGGCAGAAGCCATAGCCAGTCTATGGTGTCCATCGCCTGTCCCAGTGGAACACTTGGTTGCAACGACTAACACAGCACCACAAACGGCACCCACTCGCCAGTCACAGCTGGCTGATAATAGAACGCAACCTCCACCATTAAAAGCGGATACAAACACCTGGTCACCAAGCATAATCATACTATGTCCCCTGCAACAAGCGGCAACCCACCAATTTTCTCCTACGGCAAACATGGCGCACATTCCGCTCTTCGCATAACAGCCAATGTTCAACCCCTAGTTCCACCACTTTCATGGAGTCCCCCCTCAAGCACCACAGTCGCAAGGCTAAAATACCAACACAACACTAGAACATGGGGAAAACTCAAGCATGATAGGGCAGCGGGACTCTAACTCACTATCCCAACAGTTTACATACACAAGCACGATGTAACCATCATATGTTCCACAAATGACGTGGTACATTTAAGGGTACAACTGTGGATATGACCAAAGATACAACAGTATGTACTACGCCCAACAGACCATGCAATACGGTGGTTTCCCCTCTATGGACAGACAAGTGCGAAGTGCCGACTCTGCATTCTGCTCGTAACTCTTGCAGTACGAGATACCCCACTCAGCAATGATCCCTAGTATACCCAAATACAATAGCACGACGGACCCAAAAGAACACATGGATACTTACAAATGGACGATGAGTCGCTCCGAATGGACAAGAGGTTCATCTGCACATATTTTCCAGTCACGTTATTGGGGAACGCATTCAAATGGTTTAAATCGCTCCGTCCGGGAAGTATCTCAAGCTTTGAGCAATTACGATACCTCTTTCTCAACAACTTTACGCAACTCTAGAAAGGGAAGGGGGATGCGAGCTCCATCATGGCGTACAAGCAAAAGGAAAGGGAGTCGATAAGGGAATACTATGATAGGTTCACTCTCGCGACACTTAGTGTGTCGGGACACAAAAAAATCCTTGTTACAGGCCCTTTCGCCCAAGGAGCTCTCCCCGGCCCCTTGTCAAAAACGATGCATGGGATAATGCCAAAAACAAGAGTCGAACTCAAATATAGGGTGGAGAAGTACTTGTGGCAAGTCGAAGGCGAAGAGCGGAAGGAAGAAAACATCAAAGTGGTGGCAAATGTGTATATCAAACAACAGGAAGCAAACGCTCATCCCACCTCCCACCATCGGGAGTGCCACGAAGGGTGCCACGATAAGAATAGTCGACACTCACGACACTCGTCTCGAAGGTTTCGTCCATTCGGGATGGATGAGCCTTGAGGAAACATATCCGAAAGAGATGCCGTTGAAAAACACCAGAAAAAGAAGAAAAGGAAAAAAGGGAAGTACTGCGAGTACCATAAAAGCAAGACCAACGACACCGACGATGTATAATGCTAAAAAAAGAAGTAGAAGAAAAGCGATTGAACGGAAACCTTGTGGATATAGCAAAGGACCTGAGGTACAAATTCAAAGTCGATCCTAAGGAAACGCGCGCCAAGAAAGACACCGACAAGCACCCAGTGAAGATGGAAAAAATCTTGGGCATCACGAGACCGCGAGGAAGAAGCGACTCCCAAGAAGCAGACAGTGACATCGAGATAGTACGAAAAAACACCCTCAACATCAACTTCTCTTTGGAAGACCCCAGAGTACCTAGGTGGAACCACAGGGACCCGCTCTTAATAACTGCCTACGTACGCCACATATAAATTCATCAAGTACTGATTAATAGCTAAAATAGTGCGAACGTTCTCTATGAGCATTGCTTCCGCGAGCTTCCGACCCCTTGGAAAGAAGGATTGAAACAACCAACCAAAGGGCCACTGGTGGGATTCACAGGTCACCAGTTACAGCCAATAGGCACCATAAGTCTCCCCCTCACCCTGGTCAGTCACGATGGGAAGGAGAGAATCACGAGAGTAATAGAATTTGTAGTAATAAACGACCCATCTAACACGGACATGCTTCTTGGGAGGCCAACGCTTTTCCAGTTCCAAGCCATACCATCAACGATTCATGACATAGTAAAATTCAGCACCGGCTCAGGATCGGCCACGATCATCGCCTACAACCCCAAAACGCAACGCCGCGAGGCTATCGCCACAATGGAGGCCGCATACGTCCTGAGAAAGCAATGGACAAACCGGCGTGGACGGAAGAATCCAACTCAAGTAGCCATTAAACAAAACCAAGAAAGTAAGGGAGACAACCTCCAAATGGAAGAATAGTAGGAGGAGGAAGGAGGCGGCCACAATAACAGAGCTAGGTCGGGACCCGCAGAGGCGACTGACACAAACACCCATGCATGTTCTATCTCCTCAAACTTCCTCGAAAATCATCCCTTGACAATAAACGACGATGGATGGTGACTAAAGTCCAAAAAGCGGCTTACCCCAGGGGAGGAGGCGTCACCCCGCAGAGGCGCAGAAGCCCACCTCTCCCATGAAGCTAAAAACAAAAGAACACGAACACATCGGGGGTATCGAGCGAAGATCGCCAAACACATGGATGGATAGAAAGGCCAAGCGTACTCCCAGAAAAAAAAATCAGCTTGGGACAGAACAACAAAACAGCAAGGTCCTTCAGCTAAATCAGACTGAACTCGAACCACATCCCGAATGAAATGTTGCCAAACAAAGCCCCAAACAACAATAATCAGGGAGGCAGGGAGGCTGCGGAGAAGCAAATACAAAAGAACCAGGAAGAAGGCACCAAAAGATGAGAGGATCCGAAGATCGTCCCCAGGATGGTATCTCAACCGAAAATACCAAAATCTCGCACGTGCGAGGACATAGCCCTACCTGGAAAGACACACTCGGGGGATACCAGATCTACAAGAGCATAGACGTCACCACGCCACTCCCTAGGGGAAGCATACCACACAGTCGGGCGAGGGCTACGAAAACAACGTCATCACTCAAGGTAATACTCAGATTGTCGCGAACACCGAACTACACAAGGACCAACGAATCGAAGCAGTACACAAGTGAGAGCAGACCCACCAAGGAACATGCAAGAATGATTGTAATAACAAATCAAGGGGGTACACGGCGTAGGAGTCCCAAATGGGGGGCGTATCTCTCGAAATTTGACAGACGCACGGAGCACGTCACCATCCCTTAGCAAAAGGAGAGGCTTAAATGAAGCAGACTCAAAGAAGGGGTAATGTGATCAAACTCCAAACGGATAATCACACCCCTAAAAAAACAATACAAGGTCCAAGAATTGACTTGCACAACAAGTCATCCCCTCTTTCTTATTAAAAAAAACGTAGACCTCCCTACATAGGAAAACATCATTAACGAAATTATGTCAGTTTCCTTTTCACTATATGTATATATATATATATATATATATATATATATATATATATATATATATATATATATATATATATATATATATATATATATATACAGCTAAAATATTTGTACTCGAGCTCGACACCACCCATAAGAAGTTGCACATGTTTACCAAACAACAATAAGGACCGATCATCCATGATGTTTGAGCGAAACCACTGTAAGAATGCAACCATAGGCTTCAAAGGCTCATAACCTTTCCCTAAAAATACATTAGTAAAATCGAAAGAGCCACAACTCCTGACCATGACAAGTAGAGGCCTTAAAGGATCATAACCTTTCCCTCGAAATGTGCAATACCTAAGCCCTCAGGCCTCAAGGTGACGATCTCTGCCTGAATTAGATGGCTAGGGTTGGAGTACAACCCTCATCGACTCAGGACTTAGAACAAAGTCCCAAAAGGGCAACAAGGAAAACCTTTAGCTAAAAAAAGAGTGCCCTAACAAAACGAACCAACCAGAGTTCATAACCAAAGGCCAACCAAGGCCTTGATACTATAAGGATAAACCAAGAACACTAAAAAGGGATGAACACCAACCCCACCAGAGCAATCTCCCAGGCTAAAGCCAAGAAGCGTGCTCCAGGCCCAGCAAATCTACCATAAAATGGGAATCACAACTGATGCCTCTCCAATGTGAAACCAAAAAGTACGGCTGCCCCAAAGGCCAACATCAACCTCCGAGACGAATCCAAACGTAGGGTTGCCAACACAAACCAACAGGGACGAAAATACAACACGATAAAGTAAAGAGAGCTATAAAATTGAAAAGTAGGGAAGTTAAATTTGACTGGCGGACAACTCCCGGACTTAGAAATGCCACGCAGGGCCCAGAAGTGATGGCCTCAAGATGTTTCCTTTCGGCGTCTGAATCGCTGCACAGCTGACGGAGCCCCTCTATGTCAAGCTCACAAACATGGAGGTAGGAGGCAAAGTCAGTCTCCAGGAAAGACTTCACCTCCATGTGCATTGCCCGAGTGTGCTCCAAAAGGGTTCTCGGCTTACCAGGCACGAATTTCCCGGTGGCAATTTGCTCCCTAACCACCTGCTTACCACCCTCAACCTCGGAAGCCATGCAGGCTGCCTTCATACGCCTTACACCCAAGGAAAAGTTGTGGCTCTCAACCACCTTGTCCACCACCTGAACGATACCCTTCTAAAGTAGCCACTTTAGATCATCCTCTACAGCCTTCCTCCTCACACTCTCATCCTCCATTTTCCTACTAACATCCTCCACTTGACCCTCTAGCACCCTCTTCTCCTCCACCAACACTTCAATTCGCTGAGAAAAACGTTCCACCGACCCATCCAAAGTTACCACCTTCTCCTCCAAAGATGCTATCTCCCCAACCAAGAGGTCGTAACACTCCTTAAACCTGCATTTATCCTCTTCTAAACCCAACAGCTTCGCCCTCATCTCATCCCGATCGACCCTTACATAGGTGAGCTTTTTAGAGTCTGAACCAACCTGGAGAAGGCATAGAGCAACAGTAACCATGTAGGAGGCAACCTGAGCAGTTGCGTACTGCAGGCTGTTAGAAATATGGGAGTTGGAAAGGAGTTCCATAGCTTCAATTGTAGTGGGGGGAAGGCATGACGGCTCCATTCGTATGCAGCATAATGCTTCGTCAAGAGAGAATCTCGTTTAATCCCCCACTCAGACACATAGATGTCAGAAATCTTCGAAGGAGGAGAGGAACAACCTGCAACAACATCATCCCTTGCCGGACTAGAGCTGGGTCGGGAGGAACTTGGGACATGTCATCATAATTCTGCTCAAAGACCCCCCCCCCCCCCTCAGGGGTCGCAACATCCTTGGGTTCATTATTGGGTTCACGAGGCTGCTATGTCGCCTCTTTTCTCATTCCCTCCGACAGTTTCGATGGGTCATCATCGTGAATGTCCACAACAACGTCAGAATCCCCCATAAGATAATCCACATTCCGCCTCTTCCAAAGACGCCAGATAGAGGAACCAACACCAACATCCTCCAGAAGAGGGGAATCCAACCAAGCCAACCGCCGCTTGGAAGCCGAGCGCCTCTCCCTCGTCACCAACTCAGTTAGCAGCTCTTCCTCATGATCGGAGGGAAAAGGATCATCGCGGGAAGCTCCCCCAACAGGCACGTCAACCAACGCTCGATCGACAGAGAAACCAGATCTGGGCAGAGAAACGACGTGAGAACCAGCAAGAGCCAGGACACGATCGACACTGACCGATAGAGGAAGCGTCTCTACCATGGGCACCTGCTGGTGTTGACAGGTGCCGTAAAAGCGGCCCCTCAGAACTATCTCTAAGGTAATGACCCTCTCACGACCTACAAATAAAAACCAAGACAACGTAGTTAGGGACATCGACAGGTATTACTAGTCGCACAACACACAAACAAGACAGGAAGATGGGAATAAAAAAAAGGGAGGAGAGGTACTTATCGTCCTTCTCAACGTAGAACTAAGGCATCATCCCCCGCGCCCTCCAACAAGCACTCATACCAACGGCGACCAACATACAGTCCTCCCAGTCCTCCCCGTTGAAAGAAATGGTTCTTAACGCCCTAGCTACGGTTTCGCTAGGCCCCCCAAAGAGTGGGAATCCGATCAGTGAAGTTGGTCTGATGAGGATAACCGAAACCGACCAAATCGTGGTTCACCCACAACCACTTGTCGTGCCAATTTTTCTTGGGGGCCTTCTGATTAATGATGAACGCGTGGACACCCCTCCGCTGAGAAAACGTATGCACCTCGGACCGAGTCGATGAGTTGAAGAAATTCTTAAAGGCCAAGAACTGGGGGAGCACACCCAAAGACCCGAATGCCATTTCGGTGATAACAATCTTATTGACGGCGTTGGGAGTCATATCATTGACAGAAAAGTCGTATTGACGTATAATGTCATCGAAAAAATCGGACTTGAGTAGACGGAGCCCCGCGTCAAAGATCAGTATGGGGACTCCGACTTTCCCCTTCAGTGGACAAGAAATGATAGCCCCTCTCCGAGGGTATTTCACATCATGCTTAGTTAGAAAACTGAATCGTTCTTGAAGATCGGAAAACTCACTCGCAGAGGGCACACTTCCGGTGCTTTGGGTAGCTATTGTTCGTCGACAAGAAAAGACGAGAACAAAGGAGAAAAAGAAAAGAGAAGAAAGAAAGAAGTAGTAGCAGAAGCTAGAAGAAGCGAAAAAAAGAAAATCGACACAAATGAGGGAAATTTTAAATGCAGGCGGGAAGCCCAAGCGGTTGTAATGATGAAAACCATCAGCGCCGACGCTACCGTCACGTCAGCAGCCATCAAGAGTTATCTCAACCGAACACATGTCCAGGTCTAAGCTAGAACAACTTAGCTACCCTAAGGAAATGTTGACGTCTACTAGCCTTGGGGACTTCTTAAAGTATCCTACTAAGAATATGTCAAATGTAACAGAGCTCACGTCTGATAAATGTGGCAATCAAGGATCGATGTACGCCTAGCGCCGAGACCACGCCCTCACCCTCACGATCTCATGATTATTCCTTGGCGCCCAAGCACTGAAGCTCGCTCGAAGACAAAAAAAGTACTAGTTGTCTCCCAGAGCGACGAGTGTAATGCTCAGGGACACACCTCCTGAGAGTTCTGCACCAGCAACATCTAATCAGTAGCGGGCACGATCCGCCAATAGGACGCCTCCACGTCCTGTCGGCCCAACATCGACCAAAAGGTATTGTCAGGATCTTGTCCCCACTATGACATGTATAAATAGAACCCCTCTCTTCCAGGAGAAGGGATCACCACTCACTCACTCTTCAGTTAAACCCATACTCTCTCGACCAGTTACTAATTTGGCAGTCGAAGCTTCATTCCGAGAGCCCATCCCGGACTACTACTGACGACCTTTTTTCTCTGTGTTGTGGTTCTCAGTCTTAACTCTATCGAGACAAATAAAGGCGAAGTTAAGTCCGGGGAAGATATCACAACAATATGTAATTGTATTCGTATGTTAGTTAGATGGTATTAGTAGGAGTTCCTTCTATAGCTGATAGCAGAGAGTGGTGAGGAAAGGAACACTAGGTAGTTCCTAGAGTATGTATTGGTGCGTAGGACGCCTTATAGAATGAGGAAAGTATTAGATAGGAAGGAGTGACTCGTAGGAGTCGGGGTAGTCCTTGAGGATGGTATAGATTGGTGTGGAAGGTAGTATTGGACCCGTACTACTGGAAGCACGTGATTTATACCCGAGACCAGGAAGTCCATAATGAATCTAGGAAGCTCGAGAGTGTGAACCTCTTTGTGTGTTTACTGATTTTTTATGTGGTTATGTTTCAGCATGGTGGTGACACGCAATAAAGCAGGGGTTCAAGATCGAAGTCTAGTTCGGGAATGGACACCAAACCAATTGATGAGGGATTGCGTGATTTCATTGCGTCAGAGGTTACTATAGGCATCCTTGATGCAACCTCAGTGATGTTTAGGTCAATCAAGGAGGGTATCATGGAGCTGATGGAGGATCTCCTTCGGATCTTCAGGGCCGATTTGGCCGCTAGCCAGTCTGGGGCCCGCAATCTCTCCTTCAAGGATTTCAGGGGATGTGGGGCACCATAATTCCTTCGGGTCAAGGACCCTATTGCCACCAGGCATTGGCTAGCAGATATTGAGTGTACCCAAATGACGAGCTTCTTCCCTGAGGGGTTGAAGGTGAGGTTCGCTGCAGGATGTCTGAGGGAGCGAGCTCATGATTGGTGGCAGGAGGTTGGCTATACTCTGGGAGCCCCAACCATTGAGGCCATGATCTGGTCATATTTTGTGACTCGATTTCGAGCGGAGTTTGCACCAACTGTTAAGGTGCAACAACTAGCTTGGGAGTTTCTAGATATGTGACAGTCGAATGAGACCATGGCAGACATCACCGCCAAGTTCAAAAAGAGAGCCCTATTGGTACCCCAGTATGCCGCAGACGAGGAGATGCAGAAGAGTCGGTACCATGACATGTGGAGATCAAATATTAGAGAGTTTGTCAGTTTCTCCCCCTGCCCGACACTGGATGACATGATATCTAGGGCCCAGGAATGGGAGATTGATTTAGAGCACATAGGAAAGAGGAAGGTAGAGCATGGGCAGATGACTAGGGTTTCAGCGAAGAAACCCAAGGGTTTCTCCAGATCAAAGGGCCAGCAGGGCCGGGGCCGTTGTGGCAAGTGCGGCAGGGCTCATGAAGGGGTTTGCAGAGCGGGTGGTTCGGGCTGCTACAAATTCAGCAAGATGGGGCATTTCAGTAGGGATTGCACTGCTACTACCATCACCACCCAAACATCAGATCTGATTTACTTCCATTGCAATCAGAGGGGCACAAGAAGCCCAACTGCCTGAGTTTATTATCAGGAGGACCAGTAGCAGCACCTGCTCCATCGACCCTGAAGATCATTGATGGATTCTAGGGCAAGGTGGAGGCACCAGTTGTTCGGAGTAGCGCATTTCAGCTGACAGTCGAGGAGGCTCATGTAGCACCCGATGTGGTCACTGGAATGTATCTTGTCCTTACCATCTTATTTATGTTATTTGTTATGATTATATGTTTGTATTGTTATTTAGGGTCGTTCCTTGTGAACGGTATTCTTGTATTGGTCTTATTTGATTCGGGGGCTACTCGATCTTTTGTATCCCTTGCGCTTAGCAAGAGATTTAATCATGTTTGGGGAGAGTTGTATTATCCACTAGAGGTTGAGATCGCTGATGACCGTCCGGTGCGAGTGTCGAGGGTTCACCAGGGATGACTTTTGAGATATTCAGTGAACAATATTTAATTGATTTGGTTCTGATTCCCCTGCACTAGAGCAATTTCATTGTGGGGATGGATTGGTTGAGCCCCAATGGGGCGATGATTGATTGTGGGCTTCAGTTGGTATGTATTCAGACCCCAATTGGGGGAGAGTTGGTGATCCACAGTGAGGGTGCTCAGCGTGGGCTGACTCTCTGTTCGGCAACCAGGGTCAGACGTTATCTTCAGCATGGATGTTTCGGGTTTGTGGCATGTGTGATGGATATTCGGGAGGAGGGTGAGGTAACCATAGATGAGGTACCGATTGTTCGGGAATACCCGGA